TTGTGTATAGGAAGGCTACTGACTTTTGCGTGTTGATTTTGTATCCTGCCACTTTACTGAATTGATTGATGAGTTGAATTAGTTTTTCTGTGGAGATTTTGGGGTTCTCTATGTATATTATCATATCATCTGCAAATAGTGATAGTTTGACTTATTTTCCTATTTGGATTCCTTGGATGTCTTTCTCTTGTCTTATTGCTCTGGCTAGGACTTCCAATATTATATTGAAAAGCAGTGGTGAGAGTGGACATCCTTGGCTTGTTCCAGATCTTAATGGAATTGCTTTCAGCTTTTCACCATTGAGAATGATACTGGCTATGGGTTTGTCATAGATGGCCTTCATGATGTTGAGGTATGTTCCTTGTATGCCAAGAATTTCAAGAGCTTTTATCATGAATGGGTGTTGCACTTTGTCGAAAGCTTTCTCAGCATCTATTGATATTATCATATGGTTTTTATATTTCTTTTTGTTGATGTGTTGGATAACGTTGATTGATTTTCCGATTTTAAACCATCCTTGTGTCCCTGGAATGAATCCTCCTTGGTCGTGGTGAATTATCTTATGGATACATTGTTGGATTCTGATAGCTAAAATTTTATTGAGGATTTTTGCATCAGTGTTCATTAGGGAGATTGGCCTGTAGTTTTCCTTTTTTGTGTTGTCCTTGTTCGGTTTTGGTATTAGTGTAATGTTGGCTTCATAGAACGTGTTTGGTATTGTCCCTTCCTTCTCAATTTTTTGGAAGAGTTTGTGAAGGATAGGCACTAATTCGTATCTGAATTTTTGGTAGAATTCATTTGTAAATCCATCAGGTCCTGGGCTTTTGTTTTTGGGGAGGTTTTTGATTACCATTTCAATTTCGCTAATTGTAATTGGTCTGTTTAGGTGTTCTATTTCTTCTTTATCTAGCTTTGGGTGATTGTAGAGTTGTAGGAATTTGTCCATCTCCTCTAGATTGTTGAACTTGTTTCCATATAACTGTTCATAGTAGTTACTGATTATTCTTTTGATTTCTGCTGTGTCCGTTGTGATTTCTCCTCTTTCATTTATGATCCTGTGTATTTGTGCTTTCTCCCTTTTTTCCTTTGTGAGCCATGCTAGGGATTTGTCTATTTTATTGATTTTTTCGAAGAACCAGCTCTTGGTTTCATTGATCTTTTGGATTGTTTTTTTAGTTTCAATTTCATTTATTTCTGCTTTTGTTTTTATTATTTCTTTTCTTCTACTGGTTTTGGTTTTTTTTTTGTTGTTCTTTTTCTAGATCCTTGAGCTTCGAGATTAGGTTGTTTCTTTGAGTTCTTTCTTGTTTTTTGATGTGAGCTTCTATTGCTATATATTTTCCTCTTATTACTGCTTTTGCTGCATCCCATACATTTAGGATATTGGTGTCCTCGTTATTCAATTCAAAGAATTTTTTAATTTCTTCTTTGATCTCCTCGTTAGTCCAGTGGTCTTCCAGTAGTGTGGTTTTTAATCTCCATGAGGTAGGATAGTTCCTTGCCTTCTTTTTATGGTTTATTTCTAGTTTGATGCCTTCGTGGTCAGAAAAGATGGTTGGTATGATTTCAATCTTGGTGTATCTGTTGATGTTTGTCTTGTGCCCCAGTATGTGATTGATCCTGGAGAATGTTCCATGTGCACTTGAGGAAAATGTGTACTCCATTTTTTTTTGGGGGGGTTTAGTGTTCTATAGATGTCTGTTAATCCCAAATGCTCTAGGTCTTTATTTAGAGCTTTAGTTTCTTTACTTATTTTTTGTCTTGTTGATCTATCCATTGTTGATAGTGGTGTGTTGAAGTCTCCCACTACGTATGTGTTTTCTCTGATGTCTGTTTTCAGAGAGGACAACAGTTGTCTGATATATTTTGGTGCTCTTTCGTTTGGTGAGTATATGTTAATGAGTGTTATTTCTTCTTGAAGTATTGTCCCCTTGATCATAATGTAGTGACCATTGGGGTCTCTTTTTATTTTTTTGAGTTTGAAGTCTGTTTTATCTGATATAAGTATAGCTGTTCCTGCTTGCTTTTTTGGCCCATTTGCTTGTAGGATTGTTTTCCATCCTTTGACTTTGAGCCTATTTTTATCTTTTGTAGCTAAATGTGTTTCCTGGAGACAGCAAAAGGTTGGGTTTTGTTTCTTAAACCAGGCTGCGACTCTGTGTCTTTTTATTGAAGAGTTTAGTCCATTTACAATTAGAGTTAATATTGATATGTTAGCATCTGTATTTGCAATTATGTTTGTCTTTCCTTTGATTTTATTTATTTATTATTTTAATAACTTTTTTTTTTTTTTGGTCTTCTTTCGTTGTTATTCGTCCCTCTGAGGTTCTGGCTTTAGGACTCCTTGTAGTATTTTTTGGAGTGGGGGTTTAGTCGCAATGAAATTCCGGAGTTTCTCTTTGTCTGGGAAGGTCCATATTCTTTCTTCATGGAGGAAAGAGAGCTTTGCGGGATAGAGTATTCTTGGTTGGCATCTGTTTTCTTGGAGTCTGTTGACTATGTCCCTCCACTCTCTCCTTGCCCGTAGTGTTTCTTCGGAGAAGTCTGATGTCAGCCTGATTGGTTTTCCTTTGAATGTTATCTGTTTCTTCCCTCTTGTCAGCTTCATTATTTTTTCCTTGTCCTGGATTCTTGGGAGCTTTACTATTATGTGTCTTGCTGTGTTTTTCCTTTCGTCGTGGAAGTTTGGTGTTCTTCTTGCTTCTTGTATATCAATTTTCAGCTCCTTCTTCGCATTTGGGAAGTTCTCTTCAATTATCTCCTGGAATATTTTCTCTGTTCCTACATCTCTCTCCTCTCCTTCTGGTATTCCTATAACTCTTACATTTCCTTTCCTCATGGAGTCAGATAGTTTCCGAAGTCTTTCTTCATTCTTTTTCCTTCGTACTTCTCTTTCCTTTTCTGTTTTGGTTCTTTTTATTTCTGTGTCTTCAAGAGTACTTATTCGTTCTTCCATTTCATCTATTCTGCTTTCATTGCTTTTCCCAGAGTTCTTTAGTTCCTCCATTAATTCTTTGATCTCCTGCATTTCTTTTACTTCCCTCTTTAGGGACTCAATTTCATTCTTCTGACCATTGTTTTCCCTCTTTAGGGACTCAATTTCCTTCTTCTGATCTATCACTTTTTTAATCATGGCAATTTTAAATTCTCTTTCTGAAAGGCTCAGAAGTTCTTCCAAGCTGCTGTCGTTGCAATCTGGGGAGTGGTTTTCTTTTTGTGGTGTGCTTCTTTCCTGAGGAGTTGTTAGGTTGCGTGTGGTTCTTCTACTCCCTACTTTCTGTTTTCTAATTTGTCATATGCATTGGGACACTGTAGAGAGAAAGATCCAGAACATAAAAGTCAAACTTTGCAGGACGAAATCAGTATGCTAAAACTGGAAATAAATACAATGAAAAACCAAAACCAGAAAAAAGAGAAGACCATTGAAATTATAAAAGAAATGAATGATTTTCTGCGAAAAACAATACAACTGAATGAAGAAAGACTTGCAAAAACAATATCCCAACATTGTGAACAACTTCTTGTTCTAAAGAGTGAAAATAACTCGCTAAACACTCAATTGGAAAATGAAAAACTAAAAACCAAAACACTGAAAACAGAAGTTGAATCCTGCCGTGGTAGACTGGATGCTGCTGTACAAGATCGTGGTCAAAGTCACAAGTCCAAGAGGGACCTAGAATGCCATTTCCAAGATACAAGAGAGGAGAGAATACATTTAGAGGAGAGATTATCTCAACTACAAAGGGAAAACATGTAGCTTCAACAGCAACTAAATGTGTCTTACAACAAAGCTGACAATAAAGAGGAGACATTAGTGAATATTGGAGACCAGCTTCAGGACACTATAAAAAGGATTCAAACTGAAAATGAGAAACAATAAACAAACGATGAGTTAATTGATGAATGGCATTGTTTAAAAAAAAAGAATATATAAGTATGAAAAAGAGAAAGCAGCAAGAGAAGTAAGTATTCTATTCAGAAGAATATTTTTCAAACTTCGTGAAGGAAAACTCAAAGTAATAATTGGTTAGGGCTAAAGATTGAATCTAGTGAATATGAGAAATATACAGACTCTGATCATATTTGCTTTGTCAGCTTAGAACCATTTATTGTGTCCAGTAAATAAATATTAGGCCTGAGAGGTGCTTTACACTATGTAAAGACTTAGAGTACCTATGAAATTTTTAAAGGGTAAATAATAAGTTGTCAATAGGTACAGACTTATATCAATAACTTAGTCATACTGCTTATGTGGGGGGTGAGAGGATCCCCCAGAGACAGAGTAGGGAACCAAAGAGGCAGACCGACTGAAATACACTGCTGAGGGGAGCAGGGGGCGAGTCAGGAGTGCTCTGCTGTGCCATGTGGGTTTCTCCCTGGCCGGTCTGGGATCAAATCCATGCCTTAGAGGCTGTGGATTGCTTCACAGTGTGATGCCCAACCCCTTGTGCCACCAGGGAGGCCCAGTGAATATATCTTTTTTTTTTTTTTAGTAATTGTTTACTTTTTTAAAGATTTATTTATTTATTTATCTATTTATTTATTTATTTATCTGTTCATTCATTTATTTATTTATTTATTTATTTAGACAAGCACAGGGTATAGTCAGAAGTGCGGGAGGGTGAGAAAATTCACCAGAGCCAGAGCGGTGAGCAGAGCAGGCAGAAGGACCGAATTACACTGCTGAGGGGAGTAGTGGGCGGCAGGAGAGGTCTGCGAGCCATGCGGGACCCTCCTCTGGTTGTCGGGGAGCAGCTGGGGATCGAACCAGCGCCATGGAGGCTTCGGGCAACTTCGCAACCTAGCGCTCAACCGCTGCGCCACCGGGGAGGCCCACCAGTGAATATATCTTTAAAATGTTATTCCAGGACAGTTTGAATCTCCTCTCCTTTGTTGATTTCACGACTTAATTTGTATGCCTAAATAATTTCATCTAGTTAAGCTGATGTACTATATTTTAAGATAAGGATATTTGAAACTTTACAACTTAAATAGTGTTATTGTTATAAAAATTGCTTGTCATAATTCTCCCAGTAGAAATATTAATGAGTTTATTTTTTGGAAGATTACAATTTCAATTGAAGTGGTCTTCAAGTGTCACTACACTTGGCACAGTTTGGCTACTGGTGAATTCATTTTCTTGACGTGATCTTTGACACTATCACTGGAGGGCACCCTGAGACAAACTATCCTTCTCAGTTTTAGATTTTCTGCTCTCCAGAAAGGCATACACGTGAAATGAGGAAAGTTGCAGGAGGTGAAGGGTAGTATCATTCACAGACTGACTACAAATAAATATTGGGTTCTGCTTCTGCTTGAGGAGGTGTGTGAAAGCCCAAACAGGTAGATCTCAACACCAGTGCCTTTGTAACAGTGTTAAGGGCTTTCTTTTCCCTGGAGCTGTTTAGTTCTCTTTAGTCACCCACCAGGCAGCTGTCCTGTTCTCCCCTAGAAGTTGTTCTAAGTTAATCTTCAGCACCAAATGTTTCACTCTCAGAGGTAATGAGTGAAATGTGTAAGGATAGTGAAAGGAAATGCTTGACAATATCCCTAAAGCCCCCTCTGTCACTGCCCGCCCTCCCTGCTTTGAATTACTTATTAGAAACCCAGAAACATGGGCTTCTTTACCACAATTTTAAACCCCTAATTGTAAACAGTATGTATGCACCAACACAATTTGAGTGTTAAAACATTGTTTTATGGGAAATTCATGTTATGGCAACATTTGTTTTTAAAGTGCAAATTATTTAGGCAAAAATGAAATATTAAGGATTTGGGTTTGGCAATCTTCACATGACCATTGAGAAGCTAACAGAAGTCAATATCGAACGTCTTGAGGAGGAGACACATCACAAACATGTATTCAGCGCTCCTCCTCCGAGGCCACGCCTACTGCTATCTTGTGCAACAAGTCCACTCAATAGTCTTAATAATTGTTTTCTGCTTGACAGTTATCTTACAACAAGACAAAATTCAACAAGTTTTCCTACCTTCAACTCATGGCCTTAAAACGAAAGCATAGACACTTAACTAGGTTAGTTATATTACCTTTTGACAAATTTTATATCACCTTGTTTTCAAATCTCTGATGCAATTTTAATTTATACTTTGACAAAATTCTTAGTCATTCAACTGACTTATTTATACATGCTAAGTAAATGTCAATTACTTGTGCTAACAAAGTAGATAGAAAATTTAAAAATATAAGTCCCTGGGTCTTTCATTTTCAAAAATCACTGATGTAATTGAATTAGATGCAATGAAATCAACTCATTTAAAATTTCTTCAAAATCAGTGTTTAATCAGATCTTAGAAATTAAATATTATTGCTTGATAACCAGAAGTTTACTTTGAGATACTTTGAATTACTTTATGTTTGATTTCAGTTTGACTGTGGTTCATAAGAATTTGAAAGTTTCTCTGTACATTAACTGCCTCATTTTCTGCTAGAATAAGGTGCCAATCCAGATATTTTGACATCAGTGGCAAATCTGCGCTCCACTATGCAGTTGATAAAGTGAATCAGTCGATAATAACAAAGCTGCTTCTACACAAAGTAGATATTGAAGCATGAAACAAGGTATAGACCAAGTAACATAATATACAAAATATATGAACTGCATTTTTTTTTTTTATAGAAGCATGGAGTACAATCAGAAGCGCAGGAGGGTGAGAGAATTCAACAGGGCCAGAGCAGACAGCAGAATGGCAGATTGACAAAAAACACTGCCGAGGGGAGCAGCTAGCGGCAAGAAAGGTCTGTGCACCATGTGGGACCCTCCCACAGCGGCCAGGGATCGGACAGGTGCTCCAGAGGCTGTGCCAGCTTCGCACCCCACGCTCAACTGTTGTGCCACCGGGGAGGCCCTCAATTGCATTTCTTAAGCCACAAAACATTTTATTATCTACATCTCTCTAATATGTATGCATCCATACATTCATAGTGAAGACAATACACAAAGCCAGAAGGAGGAATATGTACGTTTTCTGCTACAACATGGTGTCAATCCAGATATTTTGGACATCAGTGGCAACTCTGTGCCCCACTATGCAGTTGATAACGAAATCAGTTGATAATAACTAAGCTACTTTTACACAAAACGAATATGGAAGCACAAAACAAGGTATAGACCAAGTAACACTATTTACAAATATATGACCCGCATTTTTTTTTTTTTTAATATAAGCACTGTGTACAGTCAGAAGCAGGGGAGGGTGAGAGAATTCACCAGAGCCAGAGCAGAGAGCTGAACAGGCAGACTGACAAATTACACTGCAGTGGGGAGCAGCGGGCTGCAGGAGAGGTCTGGCGACATGTGGGACCCTCGCTTGGAGGCTGGGGATTGAACCAGCGCTCCAGAGGTTGCGCCAGCTTTGAACCACAGCACTCAATTACTGTACCAACGGGGAGGTCCTGAATTGCATTTCTTTTGCCACAAAACATTTTATTATCTACATCTCTTTTATTTGTATGCATGCATACATTCATAGTGAAGACTATACACAAAGCCAGAAGGAGGAATATGTATGTTTTCTGCTAGAACATGGTGCCAATTCAGATATTTAGGACATCAGTGGCAACTCTGCCCCCCACTATGAAGTTGATAACGAGAGTAAGTTGATAACATCTAAGCTGCTTTTACACAAAGCAAATATTGAAGCACGAAACAAGGTAAGGACCCAGTAACATTAGTCACAAAATAAAAATATATGAACTGCATTATATATATATATATATATATATATATATATATATATACACAAGCACTGGGTACAGTCAAAAGCACGGGAGGGTGAGAGAATTCACTAGCATCAGAGTGGAGAACAGAACAGGCTGACTCACACAATACACTACTGCTGGGAGCAGCTGGTGAAAGGAGAGGTCTGTGTGCCATGTGGGACCCTCTCCCATACGCCGGGAATGGAACCTGCGATGCAGAGTTTGCGGGCAGCTTTGCAACCCAGTACTCAAATGCTGTGCCACCAGGGAGGCCCAAACTGCATTTCTTAAGCCACAAAACATTTGATTATCTGCATCTCTCTCATATGACTGCATGCATACATTCATACTGAAGACAATGCACAAAGCCAGAAGGAGGAATATGTATGTTTTCTCCTAGAACATGGTGCCTATCCAGATACTTTGGATATAAGTGGCAACTCTGCCCTCCACTATGCAGTGGATAATGAGAATCAGTAGATAAAAACTAAGCTAATTTTACACAAAGCAAATATTGAAGCACGAAACAAGGTATAGACCCAGTAACATTATTCACAAAATATATGAACTGCTTTTTTTTTTTTTGTTTTTTATACAAGCATTGGTTACAGTCAGAAGCACGGGAGGGTAGGTGAGAGAATTCACCAGAGTCAGAGTGGAGAGTACAACACGCAGATTGACGAAGTACAGTGCTGAGGGGATCAAGGGGTGACTGGAGAGGTCGGGGAGACATGTGAGACTCTTGCCAGGCGGCCAGGGATGGAACCAGTGCTACAGAGGCTGTGCCAGCTTCCCACCCCAGGGCTCAAATGCTCTGCCACAGGGGATGCCCTTCTTTGCATTTCTGAATCCACAAAACATTTTATTATCTACATCATCTCTCATATGTATGCATGCATACATTCATACTGAAGACAATATGCAAAGCCAGGAGGAGGAATATGTATGTTTTCTCCTACAACATGGTGCCGATCCAGATACAATTGGCGTAAGTCAGCAAGATATCCATATAGACGGGTATGGAGCCCTCTGAAGACCTGGAGGGACTAAAGAGTAACAGACTGCTTGTGACAATGCTGGAAGCATCATGGTGGCACAGGAGATGGACAAGATCCGGGAGCTGCGGGACAAGACCTCACCTGCAGGAGACACCCGAGAGGACCAGCCCAAGGCCACTGAGGCAGCAGAATCATTGGAGAAAGAAAGAGGATCATGATTCAGAGCTCACCAGTGCTGACACAAGGAAGAAGCCTATGAACTTGGGACTAATGGACTTGGACTGACAATCCCGGCAGAAGGCGGAGGACCTTGGCATGTTATTTTTTTTGGGAATCTGGGGGTGGCCAGTGGGTGTCAATGGCCAAAAGCAGCCTGTGTATGCCCAGCAGCTAGGCAGAGGAAAAAAGCCAAATTTGAGAAGCAAAAGCTGGTGCTAAGTTGAAAAGCCCTGAGCGGCTGTTAAGCAGCCTGAGTATGCTGAAGACAAGTGAGTCTCTTAAAATCACCTGTGGATGATGCACTGCTCGTTCTTGCCTGAGGGTGAATTGCTGAGGAACCCGTTCTTGGGGGAAGGGTGGGGAACGTGGCTTGGGGTGGAGCCCAAGCTGAAGAGAGGCCCAAGATAGGCCGCATGTAGAGTTTGGATCCCTGATCCATGCGCTTGTGCAGTGGGCTGGCCTGAGTGCAGGGGTCTGTGAGTTACATTGGTGGCTATGAAAGCCGAGTGTTGGAGCGACCTCAGACAGAAACCGTGAGGGTTGGCGATTAACCCCAACAGTAGAATAGAATCGCCAATCCCAGAGTGAGTGCATCCTGGGGGTGGATGTGGTGTGTGGCTTGTAGCCGAGACTACAGCCAGAGAAGGCCAAGAAGCCTGACGGCTCCTGGTGTGTTACAGTAGAGGCCATGAGTGGTTTCCCTGCCTCATATGAGAAAGATGTGGTAATTGTTGTCTTCCTGCCTTAATGCATATGCTTATGCACTCCCAAGGTTTTCTTGAAATGCATAAATAAAGAGCTGCTGAGACCCTCAGCAGGATGATGTCTGCACCCTGATCAGGTGTCTGCATCTCCTCACTCCCCCTCCCCATCATTCTGCAATGGAGCTGACGCAGTCCCATCCTTCAGGAAGCCCTGACACCCATTCTGCTGTGGCTGGCTCGCGACATTCACATAAGTATTATATAGCAAGTATTATATAGCAGTTGAAAAATAATACTTGACTATCAAAGTAAAAAGAACAAAAAGGATGAAAAGAAGGACAATGATAAAAAGAAGGAAGAGAATGATCTAGGTAGCCTGGCCCCGGCCAGTTCACCTTTCTGAGTCCATTTATTATAAAGCATATGTGGGTAAATTTCCTTTTTTTAAAGATAGGATTTCTGTCATGCCAAGGAAGGAAGGGAGGGGGATATGCAGGATCTCAGTGTCTAGCCAGTACAAAAGGTAGTGCTAGACTTTCAGCGAAAGTAGAGGACAAGCAATTTGAAACACATGGTGATGTCACAAGGTAAAATCTGTAATTCTTCCTTTCAGATCGAAGAACTATTAGCAGTCATTGCTTTTCTGCAAATCAAACAGGATGAGTAGTGTTCAGACCAAGGCAAGTAAAATCTCACCCTTATCAGACAAATACTGCTAAGAGGTGAATGATGTGGACAATTCAGCTTTGGTTTCTTCACAAAAGGAACGGGTTCACAAGCCTTTGTGTATGACTTGGAACATCGGTTCACACTTCATCAGATGTATGTTCCCTCACACACCCACACCAATGCATCCATGTCTTTTTCCCAGACCCCTGGGCCCCCTCCCTGTTGTGTGCAACCACTCCTACTCCCCCATCCAGTAGCACAAATTCTGTAGTACAATATCCTGGGTTTGTTTTGCTTAGGGTTGCCAGTTTTTGTTTAGTGACATTGTGGTGGAACTGTATTGCAGCAAAATACATTAATTTGTATTCATAGATGTGTACACATGGAGGGAGGTTCTGGGAGAACACAACCTTTCTGGGATTAGTCTGGGAGAGCCCTGACCTCTAGTCATGGAGAGCGAGCACTGAGCCCTCTTCCCTGGCAAGGGGTTGCAGCCCCTGGTGCTGGGGTCAAGCTCCCAGCTAGCTTGGTGTACAGCAGAAACAGAGGGTGGCTGTCTAGGGGCTTGCCCCAAATTAGCCCTGTGGAGGGCGTTACTGATAAGCATGAAAGGATGTAACTTTACTTTTGTTTTTTATTAATGAAAATTTCCCTGAGTTACCATTTCTTTTACCTACATTTATCACCACTGATTTGGGGGTTCTATCTTTCCCATGTTCCTCTTGTGTGAATGTCCCAGAGACTGCCCTGACAAACTCTGGTCTTGGGGTCTCAGTGTTCTAATATCCTAAGGGGCAGCCCTTTTAGGGCTGGGAGGCACAGGGGTCAGGGAATTGAGCTCCTGAGGGTTGCTTTCCAAGGGCACATCCTGAAGTTGTCCCATGGGGTCTGGCCGTTACCCTGGGGCATTATTAGGATGATGAGTCATGATCATCATGACTCATTTTTTTAAATAAATTATAAAATCTTCCCTATTTTGGGAAAGCCCACCTAAGTCCCTCTCTTTTACAAATAATCCACCTCCTCTCCCCTCAGTAAAGTGTTAGATACTTAGTATTGCCTCATATTCTGGACATGGAGTTGGGGAAATATGTAAACCTATTTGTTTCCATATTTGAAACTTGCTAAACATCTCTGCCCAGATCCACCCCTTGGCTTCACATGCCAGCAGCCCTAAGATTCGGCAACTCTCCTCTCACAACACAACTCTTTGGTATCTCACTTCCTTATGCTTTATCTTTACCAAAGCCTCAGAAAAAGATCAATTCTTTCTCCATTTTTAATTCCCTATAATGTATTCCCTCTTTAAGTATCAAGATAAGTGACTTTCAAATCACATACACTGAAACAGCAATCTTGGTGGTTGCCTCAGAGAGTAAACAGACATGTCTACATCCAACGTGTCAAAAAAAGAAGGGGAAGAGTGATTGTGCTCATGTATTGATTCAGCAAACATAACTGAGCATCTACAATGTACCAAGAAGTTCTCTAATGCCTGAAAATGAGTAAACAAGATGGAATCCTTGCCCTCAAGGAATTTACAGTGTTTTTATTTATTTTGGATAGACCAAAGACAAGTAAGCAGGCAATGATGCACTGACATCTGAGCCTCAGAGATAAATGGGGGGCATAGGAGTCTTTGGGGTGAGCCCCCTTCCTAGTCTGGGGGAGAGTCCAGAGACATTCAGAAGACAAATCGAAGGATCTTGGGGTGAGGGGAACAGCGGGAAGATGCATACTCTGGCAGTCAGAACATGCAGCAGGGCCGCACAGCTGGAGAAACCAGCATCATTTCAGAACATCCAAAGGGATTCAGCCTAGCTGGACAGTCCTGCAGGACCTGTCTGCAGGGAAGGCTGTGAGGGGAAAGGGAGGGGTGTGGGAAGCCCATCTCGCCTCCTCCACCACCCAGCCATTCAAAAGGAACTACCAATGCATATCTGTGCTCTGAGGCTACTTCCTGCCCTCCATTTTTTTTTTTGGTGAAAGCTCAGGCAGGATCCATTATTTTTTTTTTTTTCAGAAAATCTCAAGTAATCACCAAAGCCTCCAGTTTTAGAAGTTAGACACATTCATTTCAGCAACTAAAATGCCTAATACTGGTAGTCAGAGAACTTCATTTAAACTCCCTGACCCACCTCAAAGTGGGTGTGGTCAGCTTCTCCCAAATGCCCAGCCTTGAGCTTTTCCTCATATGCTCACCCTCCTGGCCTTGCTTCCACCCTAGCATCCAGGACAGGGACCTGGCAGAGGGGAGCTCTGACCTCAGTGCATGTTCAGGGCTGACTCTTCTTGGGGTGCTCTTGAGTGTCCCTCAGATTTCCCCACTGACCACATCTATGTGAGTGTCCCTCCAGTCAAGAGCAAAACATCTCTTCAGGCCAGCAGTGGCCTCTTCCTTTTCAGTCCAACTCCCCTCCCCACACACAGACTGCCAGGAAACTCCTGGACAGGATTTAAGATGACTTCCAGCCAGCTTCACGCCTCACCCGAAAATCTGGTCACCACAGCACAACCAGGCAGCTGGGCCCACTGCTGCGGCCCCACCCAAGGCAGCTGAGTGTGCCACTGCCCCAGCCCCCCAAAGTGGTGTCGCCCGTGGGTTGGCACCAAAACACAGCACATTGCAGACTCCCAAGGACACAACTCCAGAGCCCCATGTGGTCCTGGGTGATGGGGAACATCCTTTTTTTCTCCTCAATGTAGGGAAGGAAAGGCCATAACACTTCAAGAACTTTAAAATAAAAATAGCACCTCTGGGGCCTTTGAGAACCTCAATGATAATGTGAGTCCTTTTTAATGTCCTGGTTTGCATTTATATAAAGAGTTTGAGCTTTGACCTCAGTAAGGCAGAGATCCTGAAATTTAATAGCCCAAAATGAGGTAAGGAGTAAGAATGAGGTCCAGCATTCACACCCAGGACCCCAGAACCTGTCTGTCATGCCTCACCCCACTGCCTTGCGCAGCAGCCCCCCGAGAGAGGACAGGATGAATTTCTGGCTGCCAGCTTCCCAAAGGTTCCCCAAGAATAAGAGGCAGTACAGCTGCTGGGACCCTCAGCTGCTCCTCTCATGGTCTGTGATAGCTCCTCTTCCCCAAACCACATCCCTTTTTCCTTTTCAGGAACTGTGAAACAAAGCCGCCAGCAGGGGAAGGAAGCCTTGGTGTGGCTGAGAGTTCCCAAGTAGCTCCCACCTGCTGTCTCAGTGCCTCCATTTGCCTATGATTCTCCCTTCTTGTACATTCCCTTCTGACCACATATCTGTCCCTTGCTTCCCACTCCCCCATTTTTAGTTTTCTTCAAATCTCTATTATATGTTGGCCATTAAACCTCTACATTTCTCTTTCTAGACATAATTTTGTATCAGCGTGTGTCTACTTATTCCTTCCTAGTTTGCCAGTCAGGATCTCATTGTCTTTTATCTTGACCATCAAATCTGTGGTTTAGACAAATGTGATGGCTGAAACCTGAATCAGCCTCAGGGCCGTTGAGGATTCAGAGGAAAGAGGTAGAGCACCTTTTACCACCCAAGAGGTGACAATCAGAATCACGGCGCCCTGGAGAACTGTCTGGACAGCCCATCCCCACACTCTTCCGTAGCTGCCCTGGCCCCTGTCATTTCTTCTCTCTCCATCCCTTCAGCTATTAGCTCTGAGAAGAATGACCACTCAGGTGACTGCCCTCCTTACTCATCATCCTCAGCATCTGACTTGTTTCATTCTCCAACTGGGAACAGCAAGAAATCACCCTTTGTATTTTCTTGGAACCCCAGCATTTGTAAATGCCCAAAGGGTAAGTCTTCAGAGGATCCTCTGCCCCGCCCACCTGACCCAGCTCCCTTGTGACATCCTCCCTTCTCAATAATAGCTTTCTGGGGGCGGGGTCGGTGGGGAGTAAAGAGGGGGAAAACCCACTCTCACTTGATTTTGAATTTTCAATACTTCCAGAATTCTGGCATAAATTAAAGCTCAATAAATGTTTGTAAAAGTGATAGATATTAGGTAATCAGAGGAATAATAATCCTAAAGTATTTTTATATCTCTATTATATTAGTCAGGGGGGAGAGCCAACTTATCTGAAGGCAGGATGAGAGAGTCTGAAGGGAAAGAGGAGAAAAAGGCTACATGAATACTGAACCATGAACCCTAAAGCTGAGGAAGCTTCTCTCAATAGTTGCCGAGACTGCGCAGGTCCTCGACCACTAAGTCTGCGCCTTGAAGAGCCCTACAGAACAGCATGTTTCATGTTCATGGCGTTTATCATGGATTGAGACCATTTATTATGAGTTGAGACCAACCCCAAATCCCAGCAGATGGAAAATTGAGGCCCTGCTTTTAGATTGGCTCTTGCCAAATCCCTTTTGTCCTTGGCTAAAAATAATGTACGCATTAAATGTCTGTGCTTCGTTTCTGATATCAGTAATGTTCAAAATTGCATGGCCATAGGTTTTGTGGAAAAGTAGAGAGTCCACAAACGCTCCCATTGTAACAGGGTGGTCCCAAGGAAAGGGGGAGGTTCCCTGCCCCACCCAAGGGAGGGTGGAGCTGAGCAGGGAGAGGAGAATCTGCAGAGGAGACTGAGGAAGGAAGGAAGCAGGATGTAGCCAGGAGACCTGGAAGAGGCGCATGGAGCCTAGAGACACGTGAAGAAACTGCGCTTGTCTTTTGGTCGTGGACTGGGTGACACAGATGAGGGTGAGACCCATGGGGCGGTGACAATGGCAGCTTTTATCTTGATGTTGATTTTGCTCTTTTCCTTCTGGGTTTGTCTGGTTGTTTCTGACCCTTTTCTGTGGGTCCCCACTGGAAGATGCTTTAGACTCGTGGCAGGCCTTGGGGCCTTGCTCTGGGCCATTCCCATATGGATGGACTTTTACCCACGAGGGGACGGGTAACTTTGGGTTCTACATTTAGAAACTAGACTCTTTGCCTTACCTGCATTGTTTCCTAGTTTTATTAAAGTTCCTTCCCATTAAAGTCTCATATGTTTTGTGTTGATGCGGCATATGGCAGAACCCATTTAGAATAGGCAGGTTTGCGGGGTTTGGGCTGCCCCTCCC